TTCACCATGACAACATGGAAGGAGTGGGGCGTGATTTGAGGGAGTACGTCGACAGCACAAATTCACCCTCTTCCACTTAAATTTGTGCTCCACACACTTCGAGCAAGTCGTTCCCCCCTCTGCACACATTCATCAGCGAATACGTAAGAGGTGGAACGAAGCTGTCAAGCTTGTGTGTCGGAGGCGGAAATCTCACATCTACGCTCTCACAAATCGCCATCGTGAGGAGCCCTTCCTCGTCCTTCGTGCAGAAGAATGGCAGTTGAAGTAATTGCGGAGGAAGTAGTGGCGTTTGGTGGATAAGTGGAAGTGGTTATGCTCTGGGTGAAGTGGAGTTGTCTCTCGAAGAGTCGATAGTTGTGAGTTGATGAAGAGCTGGGAAGTGACCATACTGATGTGACAGATGGAAGGGTTTCATTCCAGATAGCTGAGTTGTCACAGCCAGGGAAGTACGAGGAATGTCACAGGAGCACTCACTTGACCTTGACCCAGTTACAACCTAGTTGATGGCATTTCAGTTGGTGGCCAAGTAACACCGGGTCATTGACTGGTGCGTTTTCCACACAGTAATGTCCCCATTGATTATGTAAGTGAGCACAATCACAGGTGACGATTTGAGGGAAGGTTCAAATGCAACCTTCACAGGAGGCATTTCGTGTTCCTTCCTCACAGTCGAATGCACATTCTCAGGCCTTAAAAACGACACAATTGTTGGTCCACTTTGTGGAATAGTGCTTCGGTAGTGAGTTGGTGGAACACGTTGAGACTGGCTGATGGAGTGGTGGATGTCGGCGTTAGTCCAAAGGACTGCCTAAGCACAGCTATGTCAGCATATTGAGATGGTGATCTCTTTCTAAACCCTTGAAGCATGAAATTTGGGCCATGAACGAACAATTGAAAGTGAAGCTGATGGATCATGTGGCACGAGGCTGTCTACACTACCACCCAAATTGAACCTGGTGGCAAAGCTGTGGCGAGTTACCTCTTGAAGCAGCTGATGTACTTCCAATAGAGGGGTTGTGGTGTGTAGCAGCGGATCGTACCATCGGAGGATGGATCAAGGAAATGAGTTGCGGAGAGATATTGCCAAAT